ATCCCACTGCCAAGTGTGGGAGTATCCTGGGGACTCCCCAGAACAGTACAGGCTCTCAGCTTTGCTCTTCGTTATCCTCCAGAACTTGATAATAAGCCCCAGTTAATGAAGACACCATACATTTTGGTCAAAGGACAGGAAGAAATCAAGAATAAAAAAAATACCACATATTTTTTAAAATCTCCATTCACAGAAGTCAGTGACTGTCCACTGCACAACGTCTGCAAGCCACCCCCATGCCTCACTTGAGGTGCAGGGGTGAGGGGAAGTGATGCTGAGTCAGCATGTCCCTCACAGCATCTTGAACTTCTCAAAGCACATCACACATGTGAACTCATTTACAGTGCTCACAGCCAACTCCAAACATCGTTAATGTGAGCCTCAGAGGCCAACGGAGAAAATGAAAGCCTGGATCTTAAGAAGCGGGTTCAAGGTCAAAAAAAAAAAAAAAAAAAAAGAAAGAAAGAAAGAATAGAACTGAGATTCAGAGAGGAGCAAGGAGTTTGTGACTGTGTGTGTTCTGACATTGCCAAAGCCCTCAATGGGAAATCGGCAACCTGCCAGGGCAATGCTCTCTCTGCAGCCTCCCCTCAGAAGCATCCTCAGCCAAAAGCCCAGGATTGTCAACCACTCGGTGTTAGCCTAATTAAGTGGTCCTCTTGTACTACAAGTTCTAAGTAAACACATCTGCAGAAATATCACATGAACCTCCATGTTCCCACAGGGTTTGGCGACATAGTTGTACTATCTTCAACGACATTGGAAGTTTCTGCACATCCCGTGTCTTTTTCCCGTGGGAACATGAGCCACCTTAAGCTAGAGCACTCCCCAATGAGAAGGCACAGACAGGGCAGCCGTGTGGGGGTGGGGCATCTGTATCACTTCTCTGTTGGGAGACTCGGGGAACTGAGACCACAATCACAGGTGGTTTTTCCCAACTGTGTTCACTAATACAGTCTATGGTAAAGAGCCACCTTGAAAAACCAGGTCCAGTCTGCACTTGCCCGAGAAGTCATTCCTAGCTGCTATCTTGTCCCTGTCGTTAGTACTGTGTGAACCACACAGCTTTGGATTCCACCGAGGCCACCATGTACTGGCTCCCATCACAAAGGGCTTTTCTCCAAAATCAAGCCCGTAGACTATCTGTATTTTATTCTTTTATAGGCAAACATCCTCTAGAAGGGATCTAAGTTCTTAATAGATATGTAAATCTTTTGTCCAGAGAATCAAAACAGTTCATGTTTTTTAGGCATAGCCTCACCCAATAAAAGCTGGGTTGTTTATATATATACATTTTAACACTTCATTTTACTGATGTAAGACACAATAAAAGAAAGATAAACAAGCCTTCTATTGTAACTGCATGGTTTGAAAAAGCAAAATCACTTGCGGCGGAGGTGGGGGGTGATAATGATAGTTCCAGAAGGGTAATGTCATAATGGCTTTTTGTGCCTGTTTAATATGCTTGCCTTGGCTGTCATGAATCCTTACTTCAGATAAATCATACCCCAGCTCTGATATCTTAACTACTGGTAAGAGAATACCCTGTGCTAATTATCATGCTGGCTTTAGACTCATTAAGATGTCACTGATACTCATGGAAACAGTGTTTAAACTTTGGGTACTTGGCAGTATGCATGTTTACAGCCAAAATTCTAGAGACCTGGACCCAAGATTGAGATAAGGAAGGAAAGCTATACATGTATGAACCCATTTTGTATATAATATGATTATTTAAATAATCAATTAGGTTGATTATTTAAACTCAACTGTCTGAAACAGACCTCAAGGGCAATGGCTCCAAAGGATGACCAAGGTCACTGTGGGTATCCGTGCTCTCCTGAACTGTCTGAAATGTCCAGCCATCTGAGTTTTGTCTTCCTCTTTCCACCCCTGGATCTAGAACATTCACCCAATCAGTAGGATTTTCTTAGATAATGAAAGAGTCCAGGGCTTAGAAGTCAGACAAACCTGAGTTCGAATCATGGTGCTTGTGTGTGTCCGCTGTGAGAGCTTGGGCATGACACTCAATCCCTCTGATTATTTTGTTCCCACTTTACAGAACAGAGATAATAGAAATGCTCCAGTTGGCTCTCTGCATCAGAGACAATGTAAACAACATTCACAGAATCGTGCCAAGTCTAAAGTTAAGTCTTCCAACTATTGTTATTTAATAGCTGACATCAGATGCTGAAAACCAGAGAAGAGCTGCTTAGGTGAAGTCATAAAACACACGGGTGTCCAGGACAAAAACTATTCTGAACCCACTTCTTCTCTAAATTTCACAGTGATGAAGCAGGTTTATCTCCCACTCTGTTCATTTTACATATATTCAGATCTACTCCCCACGCCAACAATGACCTTTTGAAAAAAAAAAATCCCTTTAGCGAGTTCTGAATCCTTTCATGTGCTAAAAATCGTTCACTGGACATCTGGGAGACGGTGGTATTTTCCCAGCTCTGAAGCTGTTTCCCAACAGATGCCACGGCGCTTATAGCTTTAGAGAAACCCCAGAGGAGGGTGCTTTCTCCTCATGAAGTGGTGGTGGCTGTCCTTTTAGGATGACATGCTGAAAGCTGCTTGCTCAACCCCAGAGGCCTCCATGCTTCTGAGGATTTAGCAAAAGGGTTTATACCACGTCTGGGGTTTGAAGACCCTGGGTTTTATGTGGTGTTCCTCAGACTTCAACATACATCTCATGAAGACACAGATCCAGTTGATCTCAGGAGGGTCTGGTCGTCTACCCAATGCCCAGGCAATGCCATGAGAATTGGTGGGCAACACTGAAAGAGAAACTTCAGGACTACAGGGCCACACAGGGTCTCCCAGCACTCTGCCATTCTTGAAGCTCAAGAACCAGCGAGGCAATGATCAACTGACTTTAAGTATTAAACTGTCTGGCTATAGTACCACACACACACACCGGCAGGCTGGAAGAGGGCAGCATGAGTTTGAAGCCAGAGGCCAGCCTGAGCTACTGGGTGAGAGACCCTGTCCCAAACAGCAAAACAAAATAAAAATAGTATAAAGCTAACAGAATACGCACAGAACTCATGACTTCCGTAAAGAAATGAATAAGTTTATAAACTGACCAGCCAGGCATAGTATTGGGGGTCACCCCTCAATGCCAGCACTTTGGATGGGCAGTAAGATCTTGAGTTCGAGGCCAGACTGGGCTATAAATGAGACTCAAAAAACTAAAACAGCAACACTTCTATTAGCGTACTGGGGGACTGATGTCACTTTCTCAAGCTGAAAGAACCCTTCCCATCATACAGATTAAAATATTCTTTTTCTTGGTAGAGCTGTGGGTCCAACAGGCTGTTTCACTGGGTAACTGGTTAGTGAGAACACACGGGCCAAGACACACTGTTAATGCCTCTGAATGAGACAGGGTAAGCGGAATACCACACTACTTTAAGAAATCTGGAAAAGTTGGCAAAAATGGAGCGTAACAAATAGAATAATCAGGCACTGATGGTTTCTGAAAGCCTGACATGCGTTCTGTAACTGTCACTGATTTATGTGACGCCTGACCTTTAGGGACTAAACAAACGAGCAAACCATCTCAGGAACACGGTCCATGTTCAATTAGAAGCTTTATACAGCAGTGATAGGAAAACAACATGTCCTAGGAAACAGCGTGGTCACGTGGGTGAAACACAGGCCTGGAACCAGGCATGCAGCTCCACAGCCGGTACTGCCTAGTCATTTCACCAACTGGATGACCTTGCTCACCCAGTGCATCTCCCAATGTCTCTGCCTGCCGGCTGAGTATGTTCCTCACATCTAGGCTACCGTTCGGCTCTCCTAACCATTCTGCGCAGGAGCAGGTAGCCCCTTCTGGAGCTCACATAGGTGTCGCAGCTGACATCAATCCATCCTTACTGCCAAGAGCTAATCTGAAAGCACAATACAACTTCCGTATAACACAACCGACCTGCCTGTGGGAGCACTTCACATCTGAGCCTTGCCTGTGGGGAAGAAAGTTCCCTACATAGAAATCATTGGGATTAGCTGGTTGGCCAGAGGATAGTGAAGACAAACTCTTCTTTGAGTTCATTTCTGGGATTTGTTTTATTTTGTACCCCCCAAGTTGTTTCTCAGGCTGGCATAAGTGTGTTAACCCCAGTGCCTTGCATAGCGTCTTTAAAAAAAATCGGACAACAATAAACATTTAGGGATATGTGTCATCTCCATCCTGTGAGAGACTGGTGCAGAAGTCAAGAATTCAACGATGCAAGAAGCAAGTCACTCCTCAGTTCCCAAAGGCTTCAAGTAGGGAACCTTGGTCCTCTCCTTTGGGGACAGGAGCCACCTGTTCTTGTTCCCGGTTGCACAGGGAATCACCTGGGAAGCATTTTAAAACGGCATTCCCTGGCCCAAGCGTGCTTCCTTTTAACAAGACCCCAAGTGGCTGCCAATTCGCCCCCCCCCACCCCCTATAGATCCATACAACATGTTTTCTTAAAGATCACTGCCGGTCTTGAGTCTCAATAATCTTGACGTTTGTTTTCATTCAAGGCAACCGTCCCATCTACCCACAATCCTCCCCGCGACGACTTTGCCCACAGAGACCGTGACAGTGGTACACTCTGTCCCAACACAAGGTCAAAAGCAAGACAACTAACTGCCAAGTGTTTCCTTGTTGCCGGCTGTATTTTCAAAACAAAACTCAGACGAGAAGGAAGCCATTCCTCTCCATTAAGTTTACACCCACACTCCAATCCACTCTCATCAACTCGCAAACTGCTTCACTCCAACCTCTACCATGCAAGTTTTTTCGCGGAACGGTACATGTTCTCAGCTCTTCCGGCACACACTGGTTGCAAACTCGGTTGCTCGGCTTTGCTCTGGTCCATGAACACTGAGGAGGAGCGCAGCACCCTGCAGCACCCCCACCCGGGCACAGGCACAGCCCGGGCTCCACCAGCGCGTCTCCAAAGCCCTGCTTGACAGGGGCGCCTGTCCCTCCAGACTCCGCAGGGCCCCAGCTTTACCTGAAGCACGTGGTGAGCTCGCCCGAAGACTTAAGACACGGGTATTTGGTCGTGGCGATCTTGTTTTCCGAGCACACTTCTCTATGGGGGGAAAAAAAGTTGGAGAGGAAACTCCGTTGAAGGTCAGAGGCAGAGTGGAGAGCAGGACGCGCTGGGCTCTGCGTCCAGACGCACCGGCTGCTACTGGTCCCCGGGCGGCCTCAGCAGCAGGAATGAGCCCGGAGAGCTTCCCAGAACGGGGCGACCCCAGTCCCAAGTGACTAGAAAAGCCAAAGAAGTTGGCACCGGAGCGTGGCGGGAAAGCCGGGCGGAGGGCACCCAACGCCCAACCCACAGCTGGGAGCGCCGAGGCGGTTCCCGCAAGAGATGGAAGTCACCTGGGTCAGCTAAACACCCTGCTGGTGGCTCAGAGAGCAGGGATCTGTGGGTCCGCCACTTGGGACAGTCTGCACCCCGCCAGCCAGCCCTGAGCGCCCCCAGCGCGTCCTCAGCTGGGGCAGGTGGCCCTTACCTGTCGCGGTCCTCTGGCTCCTCTCGGTAGGTCCACGTGTGTCCCAGCGCCAGGAGTAGCAGCAGCGGCCCCAGGCTCTTGCCCAGCTGCCCCTTGGCTGCTCCTCCCCGGCACGGAGGAGGCGGCGGCACCATCAGGGAAGCTCGCGGCTTCTTCTCGGCGCCGGAGCTCTCTCCCAGCGCTGTGCCCAGAGGCTGCGCGGCCGCGGCCGCCTTCCCTCTCGCCAGCAGGGGGCGCCGGAGAGCTGGGGCGTTTGCACCACCTGCGGGCCGCACTCAAACTTGGGGCGAGAAGGGGAGAATCAAGCTTATCGACCGGGTGATGCCTGCCTTGCGCGGCCAGCGGGAGGATGCTGGAGTCCCGGGAATCTCTTCTGGACGTTCGCGCTCGAGTCACACACCGGCTGAACTTGGCTTCAGGCGGCGCCCTCCTCTCTTCCCTCTCCCACCCCCGGGGAGAAGCACGCGGAGTTGAGGCAGCCAGGAGCTCCTTTGCATTTTTTGCTCCAAGGTCTCTGCCTGGGAGGAGGAGTTGTTGGCTGTCACCAGGGCGAGAGGAGGAGAGGAGCGGGGTTAATAGCTTCCTTCCTGTTGTCAGTTAACTTCCACAGCGAAGGGTCAAGCCAATGTTTGCCTTTCGCCCGCGAGGGCCTTCTTGCGTGCTTTTCCTCTATCCTGGTTTTCTCTCAGAATGTAGCAGCGGCTACAGGGGGTCTCCTATCTCGCCCTTCCAAACGTGAAATAGTCCAATCAAGAAAGTGTGGTCGATTTTCATCCAACCCCTTTTAGAGGAAAGTCGGGCATTTCATTCGTCCGCAGCTCTTGCTGTGCTTTTCTGGGTACGTGCAGATCAGGACAAGTAAGTTCTCAGCTGAGGGTCCAGGGGTTCTGAACTCAGCTGCCTGTCTCTAACTAGTACCCTGTAGGGTCTTGACTAGACGCGTTTTCTCGGCCAGTTATGGAAATGGAAGGGCAGGAAGAATCTCCGGCGGCGGCGGCGCAGGCAGCAACCGTGGTTAAAACTACAGAAGTACTCTCGCACCCACAGAGGGGCGACTCCCCCCCACAAGTGCAGATTCTCAGAACGCTCCAAGCGGCCGGGGGTGGGGGTGGGGGTCCTGGTCTTCCTCCCATCTTTTTCAACTGGTCAGCTTAAAAGGGGGAGGGATGGTTGACAGGCTTATGAGAGAAACCCAGGTCAGCCAGAACGGGGATTCCTACCCATGGAGGGGAGGGGGTTTGATTCTAAGTGATGAAGTTCTAGGAGTTTGCCGTCTGTCTTTCCCTATCTGTCTGCCTGCCAAGATGTTTGTCTGCTTCCCTAACCTTCTCCCTGCAGCACACAGCGTCAAAGCTGAAAATACCTTGGGGGAAATCATTGAAAACACCGGAGTCCATGTATCTTAGCGATCAGGGAAGTGACGTGACACTGTGTGGACCACGACATGCAAATTACAGGGCCATCACCTGTTCACCACAACACTATCAGTTCTTGTCAAAGAGAAAGTCATAACAGAAATGTAAACCACAAGACTAAGAAAGCCGTGGCCCAAAAATAAGTCAGTAAAACAAGACGTTAAATGTGGAATTACTAATATTGATCAGTTCTGTAGCTCAGGCCTAGGAGAAGGTAGCTCATTCACAAGCTACAGGTGTGCCCACTGGCGAGATAAATAGGTATTTTGAGTTACACAATAGTCTGGTCTGCTGAGACATGTCACACATGGCACCTGTACACTGCCATTTTTATAACAGTGACACCCTTATTCCTCTGTCGAAAATTTTGTATTCCTCAGAGGTTTTCTATGGTCATGACTGTTGCTCAAATTTCTGAAAGGTCTTTTAATTAAAAAGAAGAAAACCCAAAACCAGATATTGGGGTAAATGCTGAAAGATTAGAGAGACAAAGGAACAGGCCACTGCCACGTCTTACCTCTGGGACTCCTCAGCCTGAAAAAGCCTCAGCTGATAGGCCTCTAGGTGAATGAGCTTCTTCAGCTGAAATGACTTCTAGTTCCTGTCTACACACAAACACACACACACACACACACACACACACACACACACACATCTTTTCCACCCAGCCATTAAAGGCATGTGTGCTTCCCAAGTACTGGGATTAAAGGTGTGTGCCACCACTGCCTGGCTCTGTTTCTCTCCTAGAATGAGTCAGTGTCATGTAGTCCAGGGTGGCTTTGAACTCACCTCCCGAGTGCTAGGATTAAAGGTGTGTGTGCCACCACTGTATGACCTCTGTGTTTAATCTAGTGGTTTGTTCTGCCCTCTGATCTTCAGGCAAAGTTTATTAGGGTGCATAAAATATCACCACACATGGTTTTATTTGATCTTCACAATACCGACCCTACACAGCATGCTCATTACATTAGCCATGTAGTTGTTGTTGTTGTTGTTTCCTATGAAACATTCATAGAAACAAGAGCATGAAGCACCCTGGATGGTAAAATCCATTGGTGCTCCTCAGACACAAGTTCATTTTCAGCTGGTCATTCAGTGGACATTCTCACATCCTTTGGAACTTGAGAGTGACTTTCATGGGATCACTACCTGGATTCAAACTTAAGCAATGTTTTGTAGGTGAGTGGTCCCGGGTAACATTCTAAAACCACATTTTCTTGTCTATATACTGAGGAGTTGCAGGAGTACATCTCCAAGTGTATTCAAATGAAGTGGGTCATGTAAAGCATCTCTTGAGAGCTCTCTGGGCATTAATGTTAGCATCTGGGCATCATCTTTAACACAAATTAGTCATTGCACAGACAGATTTTTAGTTTTTGGTTTTTTGATTTCTAGATATATAGGAGCCTATTTGCAGCAGCTATTTGGTTTCTTAAGGTGAGACCATGAAAAGTAAAGCCATCCTGGAGCGTAGAATACACTGGATGGATTTAAACTGTGCCATAGATGTGTTGGATACCATCTTGGAAGGAAGAGGACCAAGCTGCAGATAAGGGTTTACATTTTATTTTCTTACCAATGCCTCTGTTTTGATAACTTGGTTTGTTTTCTTTCTCATCTTCATTCATTTTAGATTTTCACCGTTGCATCACGGTTGTTGTTCTACAAGCAGTAGACCGTGATGTGGAAGATTAGTCATCTGCTATATTCAATAGATGACTTACTAAGACATGTGTGTAGGTGAGCCGCTTTTCAAGGAAAGTAATGTATGATGAAAAACAAAAACAGGCAGATACAGTGGTGCACACCTGTAATCCCCGAACCTGGGTGGCGGAGACGGAAGGGTGGAGGGTTTGAGGGCAGCCTGGACTATATAGTCAGTTCCAGGGTAGCCTGAACTGCAGAGTGAAATTCTGTCTCAAATCTAAAAATCAAAACGACAGTAACAACAAACAAAGAGAAAGCCAAGGGTGAAAGCCGAACCCCGTCAGTTGTGGGCACTAAACTGGTGTCAGCCACCATCTCTTTTGGGCCCTACACTAAGCATCGGTGAGGATGAGGGCCCTGAGGAGATGCCAGCCAAGTAAACAGTCCATATTCCTAGGGAAGAATGTCATGGTATGTGGTCCGAACATTTATGAAAGAGAAGAGCTGTCGCTGAGACCTTTCAAACCCTCTGTTTTTCGAGGGACTGAAATTCTTCCAGCTTGGTGTGCTGTGCTAAGCAGAAGGAGCACATGGATGGCCACGTATGGATACCAGTCTGTGAAAAGTTGACCAGTCCCGCCAAAGTCAAGCCTGGCTCTGTGCAGGCAGCAGCCTGCATGGATGTCTCCAGAATTGAGTTTGCAAGTGGCAGAAACCTCAGGGGTTTTAGGTTTTTTTCTCCTCAGACTCATACTCTCTCCACCACCCTACCCAACTCAGGCCTGCCCTCATTGATCTGCCCTATCTCCCCTCATCTGCAAAGAGCTGGCGTGAGAGAACTTGCCCATAGTCTCTTCCACAGGAGTGTCGCAGAGATTAATGATAGGGACCTCACATACCTGGGAGGAGGCTGTGGCTGTTCCTTCCAGTGCACATTGGCAGTGTTTTCCCATCCAGACCTGTCAACCTCCCTGAAACAAGCCAGAGAGGGGAGAGTTATACAATTTACCATATCCTAAGGGCCTGGGCTGTGAGGGAGCTTGAGAGTACACTGTGTGCTGTAGGTCAGGGCCCGGGAGGAACAGGTATCTTAGCAGCAAGGCTGAGAGCTTCCTGGGAGCCCATGAAGTAACTGGCTGTAGACTAGAGGCCAGCACTCTAAAAGCAAAGGAACAAGAAAAGTTAGGCGGAGCACACACTCTCAGAGGATGCCTCGGTAGTCAGTTTTCCAGAATCCCGACATCTTATGGGGACAAAGCTAACACAGAATTAGAAAAGTGAAGCTGCTAATAAAGATACTTTCCTACAGAAGACAGATCGCCACCACTGGACAGATGTGTGGGCATAGTCTATGCCTGCCTACTCTAGAGCAGCTCAGGCAGGGGAAAACCCGGGAGACTGGAAATGAAGCCGGACAGATGTGGACTGACAGACTCTAACTGCAAAGGGTCCTGCACTACATTAGACCACAAGTCAGCTCTTGGACCCCCGGACGTCAGGTCAGGATGTTTACATGACCAGTTAAAAGAGTCAAGGAAACAAAAGCTTATAAATTTGCTTTTTCGAGAAAATGACAGGGCTGAAGAGATGGCTCATGGGATAAAGGCACTTGCTATTTAAGCCTGGAGACCCGAGTTTGTTCCCCAGTGTAAAGGTGGAAGGAGAGAATCTACTCCATAAAGTTGTCTACTGAACTCCACCCACACATAAAATAGTAATAAATTCTAATTAAAAAATAAGGGATCTCTCTCTCTCTCTCTCTCTCTCTCTCTCTCTCTCTCTCTCTCTCTCTCTCACACACACACACACACACACACACACACTGGCCTCCCTGAAATGTGGCCAGAATGACCTAACGATAAGGTGAAGGCTCTTTCACAGAAACAAGACAGAATAAAACTAAGTAAAGTTCACTGTGTGCTGTGATCAGTTGCCATAGGATGAGGTACCCCTAGAACTAGCACATTGCCTTAAGAGCTATCTTTTAGTCTCAGTCTTGATTGACATGCAGCCAGGTCTGCTTAGAGAACTGGGGTTACACCCTAAAAGTGTAAAAGTATTCTTGTCTACACGCCATTGTGAGGGATCGCTTGAGGCAAGAACAGCTAGAACATTTAATACTGAAGCCCTGGTCCAGGGTGTGTTCATTACCTCCATCTAAGCCAGTCTTGGTTTTAACTTGCACGGGCTCTGAAGGTTTGCTGAAGCTCTAGTACTGGAATCTTCTCCAAAACTAGGAAGAAGTACTAGCTTCCCCATCCATGATGGAACCAATTGCTGGCCAATTTTGAAATAAAATGTTAAAAAGATGAATTAAGCCACTAGAAAAAAAATATTTAGTAGACACTTAAAAAAAAGAAACCATTTACACCTTGGTCTTCAGAATATAAAGAACAGAATTCATGTGATTCTGGTGTCATGCTTGTTCTTGAATGTATCTGTGCACACACACACACACACACACACACACACACACACACGTTCACATGCATGCATATATACTCTGTACAATCTCGTGTCTAGGAGCCCAAAGTTTCTCTCACAGGAAGGCCTCCTTACAGAGATGGCAGTCAGCAGTCTCTTTAGCTTGTCAGATCTGTAGGACCAGACCTAGGAGTCTGGGCTGGAGAAGTGTCAGGATTGGAGAAGTGTGCTCTTACTGCTCCGGTCTGCAGCTCTCCTCTCCACTAAAGCTAGGACGAGGGTGACCCTTTGTCATACTCTCCCTGTAAGTATAAACAAGGAGGAGTAAGGAGCCACCAGCAAAGACAGGCTGTAAAGTCACTGTTTTCTAGAAAACCCCATTAACGCCACCCCAGGCTCTGCCATGCCAACCCCAACATCTCTGCTTCGTTCTTACAGATCCTTTGTGTTCTTTTAGTCATGAAAGAAATATTTAACACTTCCTGAGCCCTACAAGATTCTCCAAGTAGC